CCTTTCATTCATTTCATAAGTGGAAACTGGAAAAACAATCTGCTGTGAAGTACAGTAATATGTCGACACCCTCTGACATGTACGCTGGTGTACCGCGACCCTCTTGCACCGAACACATTGCACGTTGGGTAAATGTTAAAGGTACATGTAGAGTAATATATCATTGCAGCCATCCAAAAAGTAATTAACTGACAAAATTATTGTTGAAAAGTATATACTTGGTTTAAAGATAGAAATGGCACTAAACTCCCTGTGAAATTAGTCTTTCTGGCATGCTGTCATTTTGAAGAAAACAATGAAAGAATGTCATTTTCAAAGATGTGTCTAACGACGCATTTTTGGAAATTTCCGTTAGTACATGTAGTTCGTTTTTAATTCGGCAAAGCCCTGAATGGGTGTGTGCAAGGGTTGACACGACACACGTGTGCGTGCGGTTGCTATAATTCGTCGGTTCAGTGCATGACATCGGCTGAATGAGAACGTGTCCCAGACGCTGATTTCGGGCGTAATTCAAAACATGACTTGGCAACTTTTGAATTGAAATCGAGATCCTAGAATATTGTTTTCTCGGAATATAGAGCATTCACTGAGCTAAAACTTCATCAGGTTTTGAGCACTTTGGTTGCTTCAAACGAAAAAAAAATGCACAAATGACAAATGATGTACTCTACCTTTAATGTCAGATGCCAATTATGGTACTGAGCCAGCTGTCCTGAAAATACCCATAAAAACTCGAGAAAAACTCCAGGGACTCTGTGCGCATTCAAATTAATTTATTCACAAGAAAACGTCCCACTCGTCCACAAAAAAACTGACAGCAGTGGTGCGGCTTTTTGTCGTTCCCCGTTATTATTGCCGCACAAGTTGTATTTTTATTTCCGCCATGGAAAGGACAGTCCCCAGCCTATGCAAACAACTTTCCTACCGCCAATCGATCGAAGCCGCTCTTGGAAGAATCAGATTATTAACTTGGGGAGAGGAGCTCAAACACTCAGAAGAAAAAAGCCGGCCGCGAATTTTGATTGGCCATGTTTCATTTATGAGCCCTTTTGATTCTGTTTGTTGGGGGTTCCGGTAGCACCTAATCTGATAGCCTTACATGTATGTTTTGTACATGTATGTAAATTTGTTCCATTTCCCCTCTCTATACAGAGCTCTACTTTTTACCGACCATCTGATCCAAGTGCGGATGTCAGTTTTGTCTTTCATTTCTAATCTTTCGAAAAAAGCAGAAATGCTCCCCACATTCCTCATCTGAATAAATTTGATTCCGTTAGGCCAAAAAAAAGAAGGCTCCGGTTTCTGGTCTGCGCGCGCGTCGTCGTAGCCATGCGCGTCGGCAAAATGAAAAAGTGTTTTTTTTTCAATGTAAGATGATGTCTCAAAACCGCCAAACTCACTGGTTTGACTGGAATCTTGCTTCTGCACAATTTTAACGTGTTTTTAGATGGGGTTACGATTGAGTGTAAGCTTTATGTGGCCTCTTTGGGCTCCCATATATTTTGCACTAAATTTAGTCGGGCACCATTTGCAGTCATCAGCCGACATTTGAAGGAAAAAAAGAGTTAAAAAACAAAAAATAGCCGCGTTGCCACACCACTTTTGGGGCAAGCTCCATACCAGAAACCGAAGACTTTTTTTGTGGCCTTAGGCTATTTAGTTGTTTTAAATTGAAAAAGAAAATAAACCGAGAATGCACACAAAAGAAACAATTTATTGTACTGCATTTGGTCATTGACTGCAGTTTAACTCTAAGTTGCATACAGTGTGCTGAAATATCATGCAGTCCCCACAAGAGATGGCAAGCCATTTGTAGGGCTTAGGGGCTTGAGCATCACAGCGCATTGTTTTGATTCAGTCTAATTGAAGCCTTTCAATCCATACTCAGAGTAAAAACACTATGCATGAACCCCCCCCTCCCCCCACCCCCTCCCCCCACCCCCAATCCCCAGACTGTCATCCACACTACCTACATGTAAGTTCAACTGCCTCCCCACACAAGAGTCTTTTGCTTCCTATACGAAACCAATTTCGCAGTGAGAAATCCTTTTCCTTCTAGTGTCTCACTCGAGAGAACTCCTTAAGTCTCCAGAATGATTCTCTCTGCACTACCCAACTGCATCCCATACCAGTCATACATTACTTAATTTCCCACAGGAAACCAAGTTCGCTTTTGTGAAAATCACTCGTTTGCCCATGGATAATCCTCAACGCACGTATACAAGAACACATTCTAGTGTTCACCCACAAAACTCCCAGTCTCAAGTCTGAATACCCGTCTACACCGCTGGCTCCATTCTCTCCGCTGTCATTTGTTTTCTTAACGTGTTCATCATGAGCTTCTGTCTGGACCTTTGCACCCCCTCACCCCCCCTCCCCCTTCCCCGTCATCAGAATGGTGCTATCACTACAGCAGCCTCCAGAAAATCTCAGCTAAACAAACGCTGAGCCGAGTTGCTGGCGGGTCTGGAGAATGCTCTCCAAAGCCCCATTCTCTTTTTTCTTATGATTATTTTAACTGGGGGCACCCTACATGCATAATCTGACCTAATTCAAACTCTTTGCCCGTGGGCCTGCTGGTTGCCAGTGTTAAAGGACTCCGGTTTGAGAAAAAAAAGACCAATTGCCACTTCAAAGGCGTACCGGTACATCAGTAAATCTTACATGTACATATTGAATAAGGTGCAAAAAAATCAATGTTCCCTGAACATGAATGTTATTTCAGATTTTTTTTTTTTTAAATAATTTTTCGGTGCTGTAATTTAAATCCTGCCATTTTATATCCAAAGCTTTGTCTGAAAATGTTTTTTTTTTTATGAATTTTTTTTTCAACCTTTCTGATAAAACAATCATTTTCTTTGAGATGAGGGTGTTCTGTTTTTAGCAATTTACAGAAAAAAAACTATTGGATAAAATAATGGGTTTCTTTTGAAATGTGATTTTGTTCTCATCTCATGCATAAACAGATTTAAACGGTGGCAATAAACATGCCGTTAAATTCTAATTTGAATTAAAATTTTAGACAATTTAACGAAGATTGTTTGTAGATGTGTACATGCGCTTGTCTTAAAAGGTGTTACGTTTTGAATTTCAATTTTTGTTGCATATTCAGCTAATGCCGGTACCATGCCAGAATAATCCATCTGTCAGCATGGAACAGTTTGTGGTATTAGATGCATATCTCACAGCGGGCTACTTTAATTTGCTCCATTTATCCATCCTTCATCACACACAAATATCAGCATTGGCCACAGCCCTAGGAGATCCAACAGCGACGGTTTATTGCGAGTAACGCCTGGAAACCCTTGCAGTTATGAAATTATTATCTCCATAATAAAAAGAGGTGGTGGCGGTTTGGGGGGGGGGGGGGTCCTACAGGAGACACAGTGTGTCGGTCGACGCTGGTAACCACTCAGAAAGCTCTGAACCGTTTCTCGGCATCGCTGTGGTTTGGCATACCGCCCACCACCGTCATCGTCTCGCGATATAAGGGGACGAGGGAAAATTACCGGGGGTTGATGCAGTGGCGTAAGCGTCTGAGACCGCAGAAGCGGGACACGGCACACATGTTCCCCAGACCCACCGTGCAGCTCTAATCCAATCATAGTCGCCGATAATCTAATTTGGCCGCTTCACGGATCTTTAATTTGTGTATCAAATAGAGGAGCTAGAGACAGAGAGAGCGAGTGAGGATAGCAATGAGTTTGTTAAAAGCGCTTCAAATCGGTGCTTTAGTTTAAAGTTCAAAAACCCCTGGACTGGTCTGGCTTGGATACTCTGGATTTTATTTCGTGTCGGGTGCAGTACGTGCGTGTGTTTGCAGTGCTGGTGTATCACGGTCAGCCAGTAAGCCAACGACGCCCCGGACGGAGAGGGCAAAGAAAAAAAGTGCAGACCTGTGATGATGAGTATCGGAGTGTCAAAAACGGCATGACTCAAGGGCCTTATATCAGTTGTTGATGGTCTGGTCCTGGGACTGCACATCAATCGGATTTTGTGACTGCCACACATAGTAAACGACGATACAAGGACCCAGCGTGTCGCATAGTTTGGGTGTTACACACTCACTGGATGACTCGTGTAGTCATGATTCATGAATAGCTGCATGTAGTTCACCAAGTCGTCAGAGAATTGTACCAAAAACTACAAGTACCATCATCATCGGCCCATCTCTCTCTCCTGAATTAGAACTGTCTCTTTTCTCATCTTTCTTCTTCCTTGGCTTGTTTCGCTCAACGTGACCTGCAGATTTCCAAAGGATTTTTCCTGGATTTTTTTTTTTTAATCGTGAGGAGTGGATCCGGGATGTTTCGCCGGTGATGGACTGCCAATTCTCACGAGGCCCGGAGCCATCTAATTCATTGTACGTGGCACGATTCACAGACGGGAGTTTACATATTCTGTGGACGAGCAGTTTTTTAATTTAACGAGATTTGGCAAGTTTGGCAAATTAGCTTTTTTCAGCCAGATTTCCCTCCAACCTTGCAACAGAAAGAGATTGACATTCACACATGAATGTCTGCCTCAAAAATAGAATGCCTTGCTTTACATCCACCTTCGGATTTAATATAAATGCTAATTTCTTTTTTAACTCCTGGAGCAAATTTGGACAAGGATTTCTTGTTAAATCAGCCTTGGAAAAAAAATTACCTCAAATCTCAACTGTATAAAAGGTTGGAATGATCTGAGCTTGCGACATGCTAGAAAACATACTTGTGGATTTGATTGGAACGAGTGACGTGACCAGTGAAATACAATTGTAATTATTTTCTTGATGTATATTGATTGAATTTCTGAGCACTCAATCAAATTGAACAAACAATCATCGCAAAATCTATCAGATATAAATGAAAAGAAACTACTTGGGAGAATTTAATTGGATGGATTTGCAGTTAATCAAGATATTATTTTAAGACAATTTTCAGTTTGTAAAAAGCAAGTCACGTTCTTGTTTTTTTAGCTGAGTGACATTTCTTTTTTTTTCTGTGTTTGTTCAACAGTTGCTTGTTTCCCTATAGTGGAGTCAGACAACACTAGGGTGGTGGGCGTTATTGTGGTGAGTACAATTTAATTTGTTTTCAATCAATCTGGATGTGAATTAATAGGGAATACCGCAGAGAAAGAAATTGTGAAATCAAGTGTTACAGGGAGAACAGGGGTGTGTTCCCTCAACAATTTCCATTATAGTAATAATAATAAAATTAAATTAAAAAGAAATCAGGAATATCAGACTGACCGTACCAAGTCTCATGCCTCATAGTCAATTCACTTGCTCAGACGCCGGACAATCGTAATCACAATGCTAAATTGTTCTAAAAATATATTTTGGGGGTTGTTTTAGGGACCAAAATACGGAAACGTTTTTGTGTTTTTTGGGTAAAGCGTTTTTGGCGACTTCGGTTCTGCGTGAAGCGTGGCAAGAGACAACCTTGTCCCCAAGGCCAGCCAATGGCCCGATAATGAGATTATGATCAGCGCTGCACTCCTGCAGTAACCTTGCAGCTGTACAGTAGGCGTCATATTCCTACCGATATTGTTGATGTCCCCTAATGCGGCGTGCCCCCCTAACGTGGCACACTTCATTTTTTTTTGCCTATGGTGCCTTGCTCTGAAGGAAACATTTTACCTCAAATACATTTTACCTCAAGTACATGTAATGAAAGTTTATCAAGCTCTAAAAATTCCACTTCATAAATCTCGAGTTTACGTACCTGTAACAAACTAAACAAATTTTATTTTGGCGTGATATCAAATTAATTTTGTGCACAAAGAACCCTGTTAAATTACGTCCCCAAATAAGAAAATAATTTGCTAACAAACCTGTAGTTGGATACATCAGTGGAGACAATGATTTATTATAATTTGTCAACTTTAAAGAAATTCTTAAATGTTAACTTGATATTTTCCGAAGGGCGCCACATTGGGGAACACTCGGGCGATTTTGTGCCCAATTTCCCCGGACGCCACCGTTTTTTTTAATTTCGGCCTTTGCGGCTCGCACTGTCACACGACTAGGTTTTGTATGATCTTGGCATCTCTGGGAATTTTTTTAAATTCATGAATATATGCAATAATTTGCATTGTTTGGATGAGTAGAGCACACCGCAGATGCGAACAGGAAATAAACGGTGGATTGATTTGTTAACTTTTGATAATCAGCAGAGCATTCACCCACGGGCACTGGCCTTGAAAACAATGTCTGGATTACACAGTCAGTGAGTGAACAATTGACAAACATTTGTTAGGAGTTTTCATTAAAAAAATGTCCATCAAAAATGCATGGCACATGTCCATTTTTTCCCTCTTAAATTGAAAACAGTAATTTTTCTGAAAAAGTTCCACTGGGGGGAAAAGTCATTAAATAACAACTGTTTGTTTGTTTGTTTGTTTGTTTGTTTGAATTGCTTGTCATGGTTGAGTTTTTTCCTTGGCAGTAGAGTTTTAATCCTGCTGATACATAGTAAAAATTACAGACTTTCAAAGAAACAATGGCTTAGACTTCTTCCCTGTGAGCCAAGAAGTGTCAGATTCAAATCCTGTCAGTGTTGGCCTTGAAGTGATCACATCATAACAAATGGTAGCTTCTTGTCAAACATTTGTTTATTTTGGTTGATACTGCCCCTCATAATTATTGCCAAAACATTGTCAAGATAGAGGAAAGAATTGATGCCCTAGCAGGATACACATAAATGTACCTGGGGTAGTTGCCTTTTTAAGAGTTTTTTCCCCCATAAATTAGCATTTTTACAACTTTTGCAGAAGCTGAGTAGCTTTCTCAATCACCATACATATAATTTCCAACTCAAAGCAAGAACAGTCTGGGAATTGAATAAATGTTGATCAATTGATTGAATCGTGCATCAGTGACTAATAAAAATAAATGGAATGAAATCTTGCTAGTTGAGCAAACAAGTGTTTCTTGGAGCTGTGTTTGCCCAGTGCTGCTGATAATCTTTGCTTAGGCCATCAAGTTTGTAGGAACATCACTTAAAGACTGGAGTCCTACTCAACCGAAGTGCCCATCTTCATTTTCATCCTCCGATTTCCTAGTCATGTGTCCGAGCCCCTCCTCGTGTTTCCTCAATTTGTCCATTTGTCGGCAGAATGTATTTAACCCTTATTTCTTTCTTAAGTGATGTAATACATCCCCTCTCGCTGATGATGTTCCCCGGCCCCTCCGGGTCTTGAAACACCATCGCTCCCCTCCGTCAAAAGGCAACGATCGTGGGGGGTTCTCTAACAGCACGGCAGCAAATGGCCCATGCGGTGGGGAATCAATCGCCGAATTGCCCCCGGGCGTCGCTGATAGAGACCTCAGTATCGACTGAAGAGGGCAAGGTAGTGTGGATGAGACATCCTGGACTCACCAACTTCCTCCACACTGACTGCAAAACACTCCCTCCGCTCTTGGAAATTCTTTTCTATCTCCTTGCTGAAAATCTCTCAAGTGGAAAATAACATTTCCGACCAACGGAGCTTTCTTGAACTGCCTGTCTTGTCTGCTTCTCTGCTTCCCACTCACTCTCTGGAGGGTGCTCGCCCAAACCAAAGAAACGTCTTGTGCCCCGGGGGCGGTGTCCATCACACATCCAATTTTCCTCCTTGCAGAGAGTGAAAAGGGCATCATTAGCAAAGATTCCGATCATCGGACCAACTTGGGAGGGAGTCATTCCGTGTATTGACTTAAGTGTGGAGACTACTGCTCTTTCTATTAACGGCCAACTGGTACATGCACTGAGTTTTGTACCATGATTTTTGGGAATCGTAGACTGCGAGTATTTGACTAAGAAAAGGTAAGTCGTGCTATCTGTACTTTTTGCAATCTCATGTAGTGCTTGAATAAGGGGAGAAAGTACAGTGAACGACCAACAATACTAACACCTGGCTTGAACTGTCTCCTGCAAGTTTTAGTCAGCTGCTCTGTTGGCATTTGGGAGAAAAAGGGAATCTTGTAGGCACTCGTACATACGGTATATGGAACGATGGGGAATGTAATGTAATGTACATATGCACATATTGCAAAGTGTGATGAACTGGTCTTTACTGCAACGTGAATAACCTGACTGCAGTTAATGTACCAAGCTAAAGGCAGCGTGCAGGTGGTGTACATTAACTTTACAATTTAGATCTCTGAGAACATTAATGGCTGGTAAAGATCATTTGATCTTAATTATTCCTGTAATGATTGCCATTCGAGTCATTGCCCATAAGCAATGAAGCGCTGTAATTTATGCACCCCTTGTTTTGCTTCATTTTCTTCAATTGATGCCTTTGCGCACTAGCCACACGTGCATGTACTGTATGCACTCATGCATGGTTGCTGTCCATCAAGTACAAACACCTATGAGTACATCTTGTGTGCTCTCCCTACTGTGTCTTGAGCTCATGCACAAGGATTCCTCCACAGTTGAACATTACAGTGTTTAAAACTGCCCTGGTGTGGCCAAGAAGGCCTAAGATGCTGCATGCAATATGCTTCAGACCACAAGGAATATCTAAACTGTCTTAGATTTGAAGAAAACGAAGGCGAGAACCAATCTGAGGTACATTTTCAGCTCTTGCCAGTTGACAGGAAGAAAAAGTGGCCCTCCCCCTCCCAATGTTAAAATGTTTTGTCACCCAAAATGCCGAATGTTGCGTAGCACAGGTTTGATGCCGCAGTGTCAAGAACAAGCGTTAGATATATCGCCAGCGTGAATTTATTCAGTCAATATTGCAGACTGACCAAAGGCCAGAAATATTCGTTTTGACAGTGAATGATTTCTGACCTTTAGAAGCTCCGCCTTGGTAATAGCTCATCGGATCCATAACTAGGTTACTAGTTAAAAATAAGGGGGGAAAATGCCACCAAATGTCCAGTAGTAAAAGTGCAAGTACAGTGCACAGGGTACCTTCAAAAATTGTGTAAGAAGTGTAAACAGAAGCTTAGCCGGCTTATCTTGGTTAGAAGGAAATATTGAAGACAATTCTTTGTAGTTATATCTCATGATTTAACAGGACTGGAAATAAATAAATCAGTAGTTTCCATGAGCCTTTCAGAGAAAAAAAATTCACAAGCTTTTTTGGGCGGGTTATGAGTACAGTGTGCATACACCGGTAATTTCCAGGTTTATAATTTGTGCTGCAGTGGATATCAGATACGGAGTTGGGTAGGAGAGGATTTTTTTCCCCTGTGCTTAGGGCTTGTGCTTGGCTAGTGTCATAATTAGCTACTTCTATAAAAAATTAAACTTGTTAGCTACCAGCACTTAAAACAAATGAATAATAATGAAAGACTACACAGATCTTCAGCATACAGTACATGCTGAGGTTGTCATCTTTATTCACTGTAAAGCTCATAATGCACTCAATAAAGACTAGTGTTCATTCGAACAGTTAAACTTTAAATTATTTAGACTTGTGCTAAAGGTACCGGTTACGCTACATGCGCAACTCATCAAAAACATATACTTTACAGTGTGTACCTACGTGTACATACAGGTATGTAAGTGTCATTGATGATTTCTGCCTATCTGCAGGGCTTTGGTTAAAAAAGAGACAGTAAAAACATCTGAACAAGACATAATGTGCTTGTGTAGGAAATGGGCAATTCCACAGATTGGTAAACCTCAATTAGAAAGTTTAACAAATCCAAATGCCACAAATTTAATATGTACCATTTTGAAGCTTATTACAATGCACCGGTACCGGTATATGTAGTATCATAATGATGCATTGGTCCATCTTTCCCAATGGGCACCACTTTGAGCAGTTTTAATCAGCTCGCCTTACTTGAGTTTATGAGAAGTCCTTGATAATAATCTCTACCTCTATAATCTAGTGTTGGTACTAATTATTGTGTATATCCAATTTAATGTATGGTACCCGTTTCATGTACAGTGAAACCATCCCAGTATTGTGAAAATTAGGGCTGTCCATTGCCATATAAATTAAAATTTGATTTTTCCAAACTGCATTTGACCAAATATTTGAATATTCGAAACTCGCTGAGCAGTTCACCAGCTGCAACAGCCTGCCGCGTCGTTCAAAGTTGTACGCAAAGTGCGCCAATTAAAA